AAGACTGGGAGGATTAAGTGACCTGCTCAAGGTCACACAGCAAGTAAGAACTAGAATTAGGCATCGTGACCCCAACACCTCCTGTTTCTCACTGTCCCCTGCCGACAGTGCAGACTGGCCATTGCATTAATGAAAGCATAGCTGCTGCCCATGTCACCACACGTTTTCAACTGCCATGCATTCGGGGTTTGTGTTTCTGTGTCAGTGAGTGTTCCGCAAACCAGTGCAGATTTTTGTGTGAAATGTAGCCATAGTCATACTCAACTACATATACAAGTAGCCACAATGATATGTTTAAAAGAATCAATTTTTAATATTTTCCTGTCATCTGCCATCATGATAAAAGAAGAAATGCCAGTGGACATTAGTGCATGGGAAAAGGGAAGGGCTATTAGTAAATATTTTCTTTGAAAAAAATTCACTTTCTTCTCAGGTCCCTCTCTGCTTTGTTGCCTAAGTTAATTTCTTTAATTTCTCATTCTGTGATTGGACCTGAATGGATATGACTAGATAAGTTGTCTTTACTGTACTTATTGTGCACAATGTACATACTGTACAATGCACATCACTTCTTTCACTGTATACTATACACTATGCACATAATGCATGCATATACACAGTCCCAATAATAAACTGCTAAGAAATACAGCACCATACGCACAGAATTCTAAATGTTTAAACCATGTCACGTGTATAATATTCCAATTGTTTTTTAGTGCTACCATACTATTTAGATATATAAAGATGTTTTGCTCGATTTAAGTTTGTCAAATATTTGCCTAGAATTGTTTTTTAAGTATTTCATGTTATTTTACTAGTACTCATAGGAATTAAAAGCGTACAGTTCCAAGGATACCAGATAATCATTTTATGTGAATTTTCAAAGAAAAACTTGAGGTTAAGAGTCACCATAATTATAAATAAATGATCATTTTGAAGGCAGAGAATGGGTTTTGCCCCCTGCTAACTCCCATTGTCTGGTTTATGGTGATTAGTCATTGAATAAATATCTGTGGAAGGAAGGAAAGAAGGGAGGGAGGGAGGGAGGGAGGGAGGGACGGAGGGAGGAAGGAAGGAAGGAAGGAAGGAAGGAATATCCCATTTACTTCATCTAATTGAGAGCATGAAAAATGTATCAAAATTGTATACTGTAAGGAGCTGGGTGGATTTGGCATGGATAATCAAGTGTAAAGAGAATAAAATGTGTTATTAAGCCATGATCTGTGTCTCCCCTTCTTTGTCAAGAAACCCCTGGGTCAAATTCCACAGGGAGCAATTTTCAAACACAAAAGATGTGGTATATTCCTGAAGTTCATTATCATTGTGTCCCTCCTCAAATGCTAGACCCTAGACTTCCACTGAAGCCCTTTAGTTTATTAAATAGATAACCAAGTAGAAAACAGATTGAGGCATACAACCTGCCTGGTGCCTTCTGAGGGGCTCAATGTGTAACCAATAAATAGTTAGTAGCCAAATACTTTCCAGCCTTGCTGTTTTACCCAACTTTCCTTGGTAATGAAAGAATTGTGTTATGATACAATACCTACAGCTACTTGATAGAATATTAAGGATATAACTTCCTTGGAGATAAATCACAAAAAGACCATCTCTGGGGTGAATTCTTAGATCATGGAGAGCCCATATTAGGCCAGGGCAGAGTTCCTGCTGTGATCATTTGCCACCTGGAAATGTGGATAGGGTTTTAACAGGTAGTAAAATTATAATAAAGGATTAAAAGGCATAAAGCCTTTGTGGATTAAAAGCCTGAACAGGAATAGAAATGCTGGTGTTATTTTCCGATAAATGTCAACGTTGGGTGGCTATACCTGTCAAGGGCATCCCCCTCTGAGGTTCCCTAGGGTTAAATCCGCAGCAGTCCATGGGCACTGCCACAGGCCCACATTTCTTACGGAGAACAGATGGCGAGGGGAGGGCCTAGATGCAGAAGCCGATTTATCTTGTCAGGCTGTTATCTCCAGGTAAATGACCTTAAGCAGGTCACACGTGGTCACATGACAACAATGTGGTTCAGAGGTGTCCTAAGGGAAGTTAACTCTTCCCTCTCATGGCCTCAGGTGCTCCTTTCTGACAGGCATAGGGCGGTGTGTTGTTGTTGTTCTTGTGTGTGTGTGTGTGTGTGAGGGGGGTGGCATGTCTGTGCCTGTATTTTAAGGCAAAATGCCCTATGCATGAAGGCTAGGGAAGATTTATGTATTTTCAAAAACATTTAATTGCTTCAATGTGATGTGGACATCCCAGAATATTTTATTTCGTATTCTCAAATGACAGGAATTCGACCTGTAGGGGGGATAAATGAACAATTTTACAGGTAGTCAAGGCCGCATGTCAGCCCTGCTGGAAAGCCCAGTGTTAGAAAGGGGCTGTAGGGCAGAGCCAGCGCCTGGACTTCTACGTCACAGTCACAATAGCCCGTGGCTTCAGAACCTTCTCCTTTGTGCCTGAGAAAACATGGTGGGAGGAACAAAATGAATTTTTTTTTCCTGGGGGCCTTGTTTTCAGGATGCTTTTCTTTTTGTGTGTCATCTGTGCATTTTGCTGCATGAAATACATGCCCTTTTGTTATTCATCGCCATTGTAAAGTGAAGCCCTTGCCCTTTCAGTAAAGATCAGATTGTGTGTGCAGCCCACAGACCTTGGCGCACCTGTGAAAGGCTGACCTAGTCCAGCTTCAGCCCAGCAACTGTATTGCTGTGAACAGTCACATCAAAAGGCTAAAGTTGCCAGCATCTGCCTCCCTGATTAATTTTTTCTGTTACGTTATTTAATTTGTTCTTCTCAATGTGCTACTTTTTCTAAAGCCATTTTCACCAGTTGCCTCTCCTCTGAAATGTTCATCTCTCTATATATTTCTTTGCCAGGCACTGGAACCCTGAACAATCCCTAGTAGAGACACAGAATGAGTGGCTGTTCTAGAAATGTTCTCAGGGTTTCCTAGGATGCTCAGAGCTTGTCTGATGTCAGATCGACTTCTCCATCCCATCTTGAGCATTGTTTAAAAGAAAATGCAGGTACATGTATATGTGCATATATGTATACATATATGTGTTGTTTGATTTTATGAGCAAGGGATATACATCTATATTGATTTTGTATTAATTTTATGAGCAAGGAATAAACATATATTGTTTGATTCTATGAGCAAAGATGCTCTACTCTGCTAGGAGTTAAGGTTGTTTCACAATTTCCGGTGGAAACTTATTTTCTCTTAGTGCTAAGCATGATTCTCTAACTTACCTACCTGTCTAACTATGAACAGATAGGCTAGAAAGACTCTCCCTTAAGAATCACTGTGAACCAATTTCAGGCAGCATGGCAGACTAAACATTCACAGAAAACCTTCCATGATAGTGTAAGTAAAATACTCAACAGTGAAAGGGGGGAAAAGATACTTTTAAATGCTTGGTTCAGCTGGGGGGTAAGTAAAGAACTTGCTCAGGGGCAGAAACAAGAGAGCAGACAAAATGAGAAGTGAGGGGAGCCCAGAGCTACCATTGTCTGGGGAGTTGAATGGGCCCAGCAATAGAGAGCCAGGGCCGGAGTCTGCAGGAGACAAATTGGAGACTCAGCCTCCGCGGCCAGCACATACAGGAAGTGTTCCTCTCATCTAAACCACCCACATGGAAGGACTAGTTAAAAACTGGCCCACAGAGGGAGTCTTTTGAGGTTATGTCTTTCTTAATCTTCAGGTGAAAGGGATGCTGGTTGAGAAAAAAGTCTCCTCTGAGAATCTATAGCCACAAGCCTGCACTTGCTGAGTTTAGGGGCCAGAATTCATAGCATCTGTGTGGTCTAAACTCTCCAAGCTGAAAGTTTAGTTTTGAAAGCCACAGAGGAGACAAATACCATCTCATTGTATTGGAGGGGTACCTACAGTAGTCGAACTCATGAAGAGAGACAGGAGGGAGAACAGCGGTTGCCCTGGGCCTGGGGCAGAGGGACTAGGGAGCTGCTGTGTAATGGGTGTAGGGTTTTGGTTTTGCGAGATAAAGAGGCCTGGAGATTGGCTGTGCTATAGCGTGAATGTACACAACACTACCGAGCTTCATACTTCAAAATGGCTAAGCACGTAGATTTTGTTACGTGTATTTGACCACAATTTATACATTAAAAAAAAAATAAAGTAATACCAGGTTGGTAGAGCCTCCTAACTACCTATAATCAACTCAGGACTCAAAATAATTTCCAAGAAACCTAAAAATCACAATAAATTGTTTTAAATACAGGAAAATAACCTCACATGAATAAGAGCCAGAAGAATCAACAACCTATAAAATTAGAGTTAAAAAAAGAAAATAGAATTTAGGTTTATTAATTATAAGGTAAACATTCTATGCATAATATTTTTAGCACAAGTTGAAAATATATTAAAGGAAAAAAATCTCAAAATTAACAAAGCAGATTTGAAAAGTAAGAAAGAGAACATAGAGAAATTTAAAAAATCATAGATCTTTGTATTATAAACCAAATTGATAGTCTAAGCAACAGATTGCTTTCACTGGAGAGAGAAGTATTAAATAGGAAGACAGAATTGAAGAAATTACAGTTCAAAGACGAAAATGGACGAAAATGCAAAGAAGACGTTACAAGACAGGGAGAACAGCTAATGAGACCCTACATATAGCAAGTGGGTGTTTATGATACAAATATACAGGAAAATATGGATGAAGCAATATTTGAAGAGACAAGGACTGAGGTTTACCAGAAACAATGAAAGACATGTCCTCATACCCAGGAATCCTAATTTGGAAGTAACTGCAGTGTATTGTTAGCGACACTGTGACTGTGCTAATTCCATAATCAATTCAGTCTAGGTAAAGCCTCATGTGTAGCTTTTGCAGCATTGTTAGGCTTTTCATAACATTAACTCCAGACAACATCTGTTTGTAGAGTCAGCAACAGATGTTTTTTGCTGTCCCCTACACATCTAATCATCCATAATTATCTGGTGCTTTGCTCTCATTTGTACATAATCTGCTTACCTATCAAGGTGGGACATAACTGTTTTGGAGATGTCTATACCTGCTTCTTGCAATATTCGGGTAATTTGAAAGGGTGCACTTGGATTCCTTCCAGGATGAATGATAACAGGACAGCCAAGCTGAGCCTGGGCTTGGGCTGTCGCCTGGAGAACCTTTCTTTCACTCTCAGTCAGAGGCCAGGAGCAACCGATTTCCCCAATAACGCCGCACTTGATGCTGGTTCCATCAGCCCCGTGGAGAATTTCGTTAACGAGGACATCAGTGAGCTAAGGAAGGGTGGGAATGAAAATACGTCATAGACTGTGAAATTCCTGAATGTAGTGTCACCACAGTGTGTTAATGAACTTATCCATTCAGTCGTTCATTGTTTAAGAATGTATTCATCATTCATTCAATATTGGTCAAGGAAAAAGGCATTTTCTGGCTAAGTCTCAAATTCAACGAGTTTTTCTAAACAAAGATTTGGTAATATCTTACTGTGACTATTTAACAAGAAATTTATGGCTTTAGGTAGCTAAAGAGGAAAAAACATGAATTAATGAAAGTATATTCAGATAAGAAAAATATTTAAAATTTAATTTGAGGAGTATTTAGACATAAAAAGATTGTCCTCGAATCTGTATCAACTGTGCCAAGTAATTCTTTAATTCCCCCCCTTTTATGCATTCCTTTATCCTATACAGCATAAAAAATTCACAGCATATAATATGAATATTACATTTTCTGGTCAGATATATAGTTACTGCTAAGAGTGGTTAGAAAACTGTATAGTAGTTGACATCATGATAGTCTTCAAATAATATAAATATATAAAAAAGAAAAGGCTTTATTGGAAAATAATGCAGATAAAGTTTTGAAATACAAAGTATTTTAAAGATTAACTGATTCTTTGCAAAAACTCTAGCTGACATGCTAGGCCTATCAAGGAGGCAATGGAAGATACAAATGAATGTGTGCATATACATGTAAACATGTATAAACACATACATGTATGTCTAGGAAGAGAGTACATACACATACCCAAAACTCTTGCTGCTTATTTGTTCTTTGTGTCCCTGAAAGATTTACTTCCTTCTGCTCGTTCTTGCTTAAGATATTATCATAACAACAAGGGAATGATTTTCTCTCCCCTCCTATTTGGTAAAAGGAGAAGGAAACGTATTTCTGAATGTGCCCATCTCTGCCTGACAAATTTCACCCTGCAGTGAATTGCTATGGCTGGTTATTTGGTTATTATAAAATGCAGCAACAGGCCACATAACTGAAGCTTATCTTGAAAAACTGAGGTTTACAAACAGCCTGGGACACTGCTACAGAGTATGGAAACAGCATGTATGAATCTGAGTACTAACACGTTGGATTCTGCAGTGACCAGTGATGCTTTTCCTTTATGAAATAAAATGTTCCCAGTCTGGGTCTCAATTAGAAGATGCCTTTGCTAGCTAGCAAATTTCCATAGAATTCCCAGCTACCTGCGAGCCAATGACATTCCCAAATGCAGATGACACATGGGAATAATCCAACGTCTGAATTGTGGCTATTCAGATGTACATACAAATATTGTCAGAAAACCTAGGGCTTTTTACCTGTTCCACTGACATGGCTTTGGTCTCTGAAGAGTGAGTTGCATCCACATAAAACCCGGCTCCTGATATGATATGGATGCCAGTCTCTTCTGCCAGCCACTTCAAAGTCTGCACATCACGGCTGATCCCGGTGGTCGTGTTCTCCACTAAAGCACCCCCACCTTTAGCTTTAAAATACAACAATTCTTCTTTGATTGCTTCCGTTTCCTGATTCAGCTGAAGATTCTCTTTATGGGAATAAGGGTTTTTCTGAATCCAAAACAAATTTTTCATCATAATAGGTTCCTTAGAGGTAGCTTCGTGAGATGGAGGAGGTGGACAGTAACAGAAATCAAAGGTCATTGTCAAATGTTCGTGGGTCAGGGTGCGGCCCAGTTTGCTTGGCTCCACTAGGCCCAAAACAGTTTGGACTTTGCCACTTAAGGAAGACATTTCTGAGGGCACCAGGAGATGCTCTAAAAAGAGTGTTTTCTGGAAAAAAGAAAGCAAGCAAGCTATAATCAGAAAGTTTAATTTAACACATAGACAAATTCTTTCCATAGGGGATGGGAGGCTGTGAATGTATACCTGTGTAAGAACCAGTGAAACTAGAAATATGATCTCACTCGTCATCTTGCCAAAGTCAGGGTCTGTCCCTTGTAAACTGTGTAAGTTCACTGCAGCTCTAAGTGACATGCATGGTGTTGAATGTCCCCTGATCACTTCCACTGGGACCCTTCTGCTTGATTAAATCCTGACTTCAACTACTGGAAATATTTCATGATATTCAATTCACATTTTTCTTTTGTTTAATTTTATCTCGTTATCATACCTCTGCTTGCTTGGATAATTTAATGATAATCTCCATTTAAAAAATCTTCATAATCAATAAGTTATATCAAAACTAGCCATCATATATCAGAACTATTTAATTTGTCATTTTTCAGCTAAATTAAATATCCTGGGGCTACTGATCCTTCCATTATTCGTTCACTGTCCAGCTGAACAAACTCGTGTTGAAGGTCCACCACATGCCAGAAACTGAAGCTAGAAAGAGGAATAAGACAAAATCCCTGATGCTGACCATTTCACAGATTATCCTCCCCAAAACAATGGAGGGAGCATGCCGAGGTTTAATAATGAAAAAAAAAGGAAAAGCAAACAAACCTCTTCATTCTTGATGTTTCCTTTTGTCTAAGGCACACAGTCAGAAACACACTTCTAAAAGAAAACTAAAAATCCTTAGTCATAATGAAAGTCACTATGATTTACTGAAACTGAAATCTGCTCTCTCTAGAAAGAGTATATGCCTCTTCATTTACCCTCTATTTACTTATTTGTAACATAAATCAAGTTTTCACCAAGTTTCTACCAGCGACAGCAGGGACCTCTATTCTAGCATTTCCATTTGAAAGTGCCTTTCCTAAAAGGAGGGATTTCACTGGGAAAGGAAAACGCAGTACCGAAGGCGGAGGCCAAGAGCCGAGCCACTGCCAGACACGGTACTCCTTGCACATGGACACCAACCAGACACATTCAGAGGACAGTGAAAACGCTGACTGGGAACCAGAGCAAAGATGGTGCCTGTGGAAGCTCTCAAACTTTATATTTAAAAGACATTCTGAAATCACTTTTGCCACATCCTCCTGAAGGCCTTCTCTGACTTTCTGAGCATTAGTTTTCTCATCTGTAAATTAGAAGAACAATACACATTTCATAGGCTTTCCTAAGAATTAAGTTAGAGCCCTGACCAGTATGGCTCAGTTGGTTGGGCATCATCCCACAAAGCAAAAGGTAGCTAGTCAGGGCGCACACCTGGGTTGTGGGTTTGGTCACAGTTTGGGTTGGGGAATGTACGAGAGGCAACTGATCAATGTTTCTCTCCCTCTTTTTCTCCCTTCCTTCCCCTCTCTCTAAAAATAAATAAATAAAGTCTTTCAAAGAAAAAGGATTAAATTTAATACCACAGATAGAAAGGCCTGTAAGTATTTGGCACATAGCAAACATTTGACAAAGAATAACTTTGTTTTGCTAGTTCTAGGAACAATTATAGGTCTCCTAGGTTGTTTCTTTTCAGAGAGTGACTGATTAGAGAGGGGATTATTTGGAGGTGCAATGAGTATAGGATAAATTTGTAATGGGCACAGTGCACACATAAGGCAAGGTGAAAATAAGTCGGGGTTGGAGAAAAGGGAGGACTGAGTTAAAGGCCAATTTACAACAAGCCTCTGCAATTATCTGGAACCCAGGTGCTTGGTACCTATTGGCCTACATGTGTAAATGGTTGATTTAGACCACTTGACAGAAAATTTCAGAACTTGCAGGTAGCACGGCCATTTGTTTTTGGTTGACACTGGTATCCAGCAAGCTGAACTTCCAATATCTAAATAATTCTCATGGGACCATGGTGAAAGATGATGGCATTCTGTTTAGAGAAGCAATGGGTAGCTGCCAGTCACCACACCAGCTGTATGTTCCATTGATGGTGTCTAGAAACTTGCTGTTCAGCAATGTCTTACTCCCTGTGCCTGAGAGCAAGGACTATGTAGCTAGTTCATTCAGTTAGCTACATGGGACCATTAATAATCAATTCAGTCTTCCATGGAGGTTTATTTGCTCTTCCCTTCCATCTGGGTGACAGTCTTACACATGTGTTCCTAGAGAATAACAGGGGGCCAGAAACTTGGACAAATTGATAAAACTCCATCACTTTTACTAGAAGAGTACCAAACTGCATATTTAATTGATACCAATTTGAAAGATTAATTTTGGTAAGTTTCACACTCACAAGCTGTGAGTCTTTGTGAGAAAAAAAATCACTTAAGTGATGCGGACACTGCCCCACAGTGTCCACGGCATTATGGATGAGACAAAATAAATTCACACAGACTACCGAGTCCTGTGGAGGAAAAGGGACGGCCTGACTTCTCTCTCAAGGGGAGAGAAAGCCTCACAGCTCCTCTGCCACCATCTCGAGAGGAGAGGGCCCGGACCCTTACCTTGAGAAGCTTTTATTGGATTCAATTTGCATAAGAATACAGGGTGTATACATAAAGCTCATTAATCATTGTCTGAAAGTAAGGATCAAACAATAGATAACATACAGAGAACTCTGAGGGCCTATTTTGAGTCAGAGTCTGATAGTCAAATGGACCATAAAACTTTGGGAAACAAACTCACTTCCTGCTTGGACCCTTATCATTTAATTGAGGGTATTCTAAACAAAGCAGGTTTTACAGGATTTTACATATTCCTTCTTAGGCCTGATCACCCTAGAGCATCTGTCCTTTTCAGCACAGGGCAGCACCCACCACCGGCATTGTTTCGGGCTTAAGGCATTGTTTCAGGCTTAAGTCAAGCAGCGGAAGTAAGGAAGCCAGGAGATTAGGAGACTTCTTGAAGGCAGAATGAGGACTCAGGCTGTGTCAAAGCCAAGGGGTGAGGGTCCATCACCCCTTTTCTGTAGCACCCAAGTCCTTCCCTGGGGACCCCTGTGATCGTGCCTGTCTTAGGTCATCCCTCCTTTCAGGAATCTTACTCATCATTGGCTAATCAATCAAGCACTGGGGGCCAGGCAGGGTGAAGTAAAAGGAGCAGAGGCAGTGCCCCTGCCAGATAAACTTTGTCTCCTTAGTGGCTTATGGTCTGAAAGTCATTCACTCAGCTTTAGCCATGGTGGGGCTACAGCTCCTGAAACCAGGCAGGGCAGTTCCCAACATTTAAAAAATGTCATCTGTTCTGGGAAGTTCCTCCAAACACTCTCAGGCAGGACTAGTTGGTGCTCTATGATAAGACAAAATGTAACCTATACTTAAAGGATAGGAAAAGATTAGAAAGCAAACCCTAGGCACCACAGCTCTAAGCTGGAATATGTCTTTTAATGGGATACGTTTGTAGAACTCCAGGCTACTGTGCAGTTAGAAAGCACCCTTTGCATCACATGCATCCTGAAAATGGTTCTCTTCTCAGTGCACAGGCCAGGGGCTGCTGCTGGCCTCTGGTTGCAGGGATGGAGCTCACAGAACAGGAACAGCACTGGTCAATGAGAGCTGCAGTGCACAGCTGTGCAGACTGGAGTGACCTCCAGCTGAAAAGACAGACTTCGGGCATTCTGTGGAAAATCCATGGGAAGCTTTGTTGAGCATTATCACACACAGAAGGTGGTAGAAAAGGGGTAACTGGAGGTATAAACATGTTTGCCATGGTTGTACTTCAAATATGAAATCTCAGCAGATGGAGGGACTGAGGATAGGCTGCAATTACTAGTACAGCCTGGTCAAATGAAATAGCCCTTCTAATACAAGTTGGTATACAATAGAAAAAGAACACAGAACTTTAAAGAAAAAAAAAGAACAAAAAAAAAAAGAAGAGAAGAAAATCAGAAAACAGTCCAACAGCACGGAGCTGAAAACCAGAGACAATATGTAGGATCTGTTATTTTTGAGACTATGTGCATGAATTCACTTTTATAAAATACATAATCAATTTGCCAAATTTTGGAGATTTGCTGGTGGGTGGGTAGCTTGGGGCAACTTTAATTTTACTGAAATTTCATCCTGGCCATTATGCTGAAGATTTTTATGTCTATTTGGGTTGAATATCCATTTCAATTACATTTTACATTTTTGGAGGGGGTGTAGGAAGGACTTCCTGACTTTTTTATATTGGAATGAGTGGGATTTCTCTTCATGCAGTCTGCTGCCCTCCCTGTGTCACCGACATATGCTCTTTTCCTGCCCCCGCCTCTGCTGCATCCAGCCTGAGACTTGGTTAGAGGATGCTACTTCACAGTTTCAGATGCGGTGGTCAAATTGGCAAGTTGATGTTTGGTAAATGGTTTTGTTACTGGACTAAAGGGGTCTGGTTGCCTGAGAGCATCAATTCAATAAGACAGGAACAGGAGTTTGCAGCAAAGAAAGTAAGGGTTTATTTTTATGAAGTGGCCCACCCTGGAGACACAGGTGAGCTACTGCTCAAAAGCCTGGGTGTCCAATGGCTCCCAGTGGGTGGGCTCTATGGGGGAAAATCATTAATCACGGCTACTAGGGAGTTAGGGTCATGGTCTGTACTGACTGGGCAGCACTAGGGAAGAGGTAGTTGATAGGTGCATATGGTTCTAATGTCAGCCATGGTGTTGTTTGTCTGCTTTTGCAGCTTCTCTGGGCCTGGAGCTGAAACACAAGTGAGACCTAGATGTCATCTCTTGTTTGACCAGAACTCTGTCTCTGGAGTCAACAGACCTGAGGCTTTGTCCCTATGACACAAATAGCTGATCAGAACCTCATTGTCCTGAGGGCTTAATGATTATAAAGGAGGGGACAAGGAAGGGAGAAGGAAGTAGGTGAGCCAGGGTGCTGAGGCCAGTTAGAATCAAAAGGAGAGAAAGGAGAAATGATCATATTAAAGAAAGGGAGTTTCTATGCAATGACAGTTTTCAGCTTTCATCCACAGCAACTGTGCAAGCTCTAATCCCATAACAAATCCCTCAGTCT